AAATAATAGCATGTCTTTTAATCAGTCACTGTTTTTATTTTTATGAAATACATCTGGATGCATCTTCCAAGTCACTGAAGGGCTTAGGCAAGTGGAGGTGCTTGAAGGGCAGACAAGTCTCCATTTGGTTAAGCTYGCCTTCCTTCCAAGAAGCAGTTGCTTTGAGGCCTTGTTCTGCTTGCCCTCTCCACCACCCTAGATCTGAGTCTGCTTCCTAGAGACCCCTCCTACCAAAAGCCCTCAGCTGCCTGAGGCTGCTAGTTCTGTGCTTAGAGATACAGAGGACAATCAAGGGCTCCCATAAGGTTGATCCTCCTCTATAGCCACAAAATCTGCACCTTCACCCCTAGGGACATGGCACTGACCAGGCACCAGAGCCATCACCCTGGTCACTGTGGATGACTCCGTAACTCCTCACAGAAGCCTCTGCCCTGGTTCCTCTTGCTGCCCACCTGGCAAGTCTGGGGCTTTGTGGCTTCTGAAAGCTGGTGCTAAAGATGGGGAGCAGTGGCCTTGGTGCCCTTTGTCAGGAGAAGCTGTTCACTAGAAAGCACACCACTGGGCCTAGGGTGGCAAGAAGAAAATGATTGGAAAGGATGAGAAGACCTTCATCAGTATCGTGCACACAGGGCGGGCCTCAGGGACTGCACATTAGCCCATCCAATCCTCACAGCCACCATGAAGGGAGGGGGTCACAGAAACCCTCCCCCAGTACAGATGAAGGCTGTGCTGCAGGAGGACAGTGACACATCCAGGATGCTGAGACATGTCACCATGCTGAGCCAAAAGTGGGTCCCCATCAATGTCTAGGCCACACACCTGAGTGGAGCGCCTACTACATGGTACATCTAGAGTGGACTACACAGACCAGGTGGGTAGAGCAGAAAGGTCTGGCTACCTGTTCTTTTCTCCATGTCACACTGCCAACAGACCACACAGCAAGTCCCATCATGGCTCTCAGGGACTTCCTTTATCCACTCTCTTGACCAGCCGGGCACCCTACACCCAGCTACATAGTCACAACTAGGGTGGTCCCAGGCCATGGGCCATGCCTTCAGTTATCAACAGATTACAGTAATTCCCTGTGACTATGCCACATGCCCACCATAAAGCCCTTTTCTTTACTGATGATAAAGAAAGAAAATAGGTTTGAGAACATTTACCAAAATAAGTCTTAAAATTGCAAATAGTATTTAATACACATTTTCCAATAGAGTCTTCTTTTAAAAAAAATGATATCAAAAGGCTAGGGTGGAGGAGATACACACAAATACACACTAAGTAAATGAGAATTTTAAAAGAAGCTAAAAATCTAAGTCAAAATCCTAAAATAAGAAATGAAAATGAAATTAGTTCTAAGTGAAAAGATAACAAAGAATTGTCACTATGTGTATATTATAGTCTCATATATCAGCTTCTATAACAAATCCCAAAGCACAAGTTTATATGGTCAATCTTTATATATGTTTACTGAAGAATTTCAAGATCAACAAGAGGAATCACATGGTGTAGCACATAGCCCATATTAAAAAAAAAATCTTTTAAGACCTGGTTCTTCAATTACATCCTTTGGACACACCATGCATACAAGGTTCTTGGCCTATGCTCACCCACACAAGCTACAACTGTACCCCAAGGCCTTGTTCTAGATGAGGGGATGGAAACTTRAACAATGCAAGAAACACCCATGGTCTGGGGATGACTTCAAGCAAATGGAGGAGACAGAACATAAACTAGCAAAAAGAAACAGTAAGAAGAGGAGGGAGAGAAAGACACAGAGGAGGGGAAGGCAGGAATCCTCAGAATGGAAAACACAATGTTTGCCAGGCTGAGGGGAGGAGAGGAGAGGGAGGAGCACTCAATAGATGCAAGATTTCCTTTTGTTCTGAACTTGACAGTGGTGATGCTGGACAACATTTGAATACATTTAAAACCACTGAATTGCATATTTTTAAAATGGCTAAGATGGTAAATTTTATCTTATGTTTTCCACAATTAAAATAAAAATAGATAATTTTCAGATGCGGTAAGTGCTAGGACAAACATTAGGGAGGGAGTTGTAATGGAGAGATCAGAGAGACTCCTTGAGAGTGGGTCGTCAGTAAAGAACTCAACATGTAATTGCAAAATGATAGAAAGGAACCATCCTTGGGAGGGTTTGGGAAAAGGGGCTTCCCACACAGTGGGACACAAAGGGGATTGGAGAGATATGTGGATACCATTCTGTAAGTGCAATGGAAGCCACCAGGCAGAGAAGTGAGGTATGCCCAAGACTTATTATATCAAATGGTCTTTGGTGGCTGAGTGTGAGGCAGGGGGACGCCTGAGAATATGGTCACACTATGAATGCTCCAGTCAGGGTTAGCATTCAAGGTTGGGACTTCTGTGCCTGGAAAAGTCACATGCTGAGCACAGGAGGACCTAGATTCAACAGGTGAAGTTGCCATGGTTACTAGATGTCCCTAGAAAACATAAGGGCCAGTGAGAAGTTCTGCATTCATGAAACTCCCATTGAATTGGCAGGAGTGGAACTGCTGAGACATAAAGGAGGCCTAGGAGGGTGACTCCCTCTGGCCCCAGCTGGGGGCTGCCTCTGGGAGCTGCTCAGGTCAAGCAGGCAGAGAGGTGGACCAGGAGGTGGGAGGTCATCTTGAACCCTGCTGTGAGGTATGGAGGTAATGGAAGCTGGAAACCCAGCACATCACAGGCTGGAATAGATGCAGGCCAAAGAGCCACCTGGGAGGGATGCAGGATTCTGCCTCAGGGTTGGCTGTGTGGTGAGAATAAGCCAACCTCCTGAGTGTGCAGGCTTTCACACTGTGGCTGATTTCAGCCACACTGAAGGAGAAAGCAGGAAGGAGGTCAAGGAAAGTTGTCTGGCTCCCAGAGGACATCCAGAAAGATGAGGCAGTGGTCACAGAGGAACCAATTTAACACTAGCAGAATATCAGTCATGGCAGAGCTGACAGGTCCAGCTGGGAAAGCTTCCCATATTATCAGAGCAGTGTGAATATGTGCCCTGACTCCTTATCTCCAAGACCACAACACTCCAGCCCTGAGAAACTGGGATAACTAGATAACTAAGCAAGTGCAGAAGTGACCCACAAGACTGTGAAGTTTCTGATTCCCAAAGCAGTTGGGAGTTCTTGCAGGGACATGGGAACAAAGCTGGAGGAGGCTGCATGGGTAGGGAAGGGGATTGGCTTAAGTCTTAATAGGAACATAATGTCATAATGCATCTCCCAGAGTCTCAGTATAAATGCAACTTCCCACTGGACAACAAACTTTATCCAAAATATGATAAATAATCAACATGATAAATACCCCATCTTCCAAGCTAAGGACCTATGTCTTCTATGACTGGGTAGAACATCTAAAGCTTCATGCCAAAATGGAAAGTGAAAATAGAAAAGAAGTGCCACAAGATTAGAGGAGTGAGGTATGCCCAGCTGTGACCCCATCTCCTCTCCTGCCTTGCTTTAATGGTATAGTTCTAAGCCTTCACCCCAGCTTATATGTGTTGGTTCCAAATATATGTCCCAAGATCAATAAAGCCCCAAGGTGTTGTGAACTAGAATGATCCAYGCCACCCTGCTTATTCCCAGTCTCACTGGGCACAATTTGATAGTGGACAAGTTCTTAGGCACACAGCATGCCTTGTCCTGCCCTGTGCTACACTGCCTACAAATGCCATCAGAGCGTTACCTGAGCCCTAAGAACAGTGAGGTCAGGCCTACTGGAAGCTGGGAAATGTTCCCAGAAAAGAGAGGGTGAGAGAGGAGAACAAAGGGGACAGGCAGGACTGGGGACAGTGGCCAGGAGGAGATGCAGCATCATTCCAGCTGGCTAAGACCCATCAAGATCGTGTTTAGGATCCCAAGAGGCCAGCACACAGCTCACCAGAGGCACTACAGATGCCTCTTTCAGGATAAATAGGAGGAAAGGGACCAGGAAGGAAGAGAAAAGATCCAGTGGGTGGAGACTGTCCTCTCCTGCTCCTGCCCGGAGCCACCACACAGCTGCCCTGCACCAGGCCTGGCTCCTGGCTGTGTTCCCTGTGATCTATCCACCTAAGATCAGGAGAAATAAAGCTCCGTCCAGTTCACCAAAGCCAGCTCTTCATAATGCTGGAGAAACAAACAAATAAATGAATGGATGAACAAGTGAATGTGAGCTTAGATTATTCATCTAATTCAAGTCCCCAGTTCAGAAATGAAAGAAAAAGCATGCATCAGTCATTAGACTCTACAACAAAGTCACAAGATGTGTGTTTTGACTCCATTTCTTAGCAGCTGGGTAAACTTGGATACAATGCATCCTTTCTGTGGGCATCAGGTTCTCCTCCTGAAATGGATTCACAGGAATTTGCCCTGCACTCCACATGGGAGGACTAAGGGTAGGGCAGGCACCTGGCAAATAGAAAACTCACAGGCATGGTACAGTATCTTTGCACCATGAGGTTATGAAGAGGGCACCATGCAGCCCAGACTCTTCCAACAAAAAGCTCTTTGTCCTCCAGGGACAGAGCCAGGCTTCTGGTGGCCTACCCAGATAGTTCCTAAGGACAAGACTGAAGCACAAAGCTGGCATCCGAAATGGATCCTGACCCAGGATATGCATATTCCTCAACATGTTCACCCCTCTTTCCGTTCYTTATAAATCTGAAAATTAATAACCTAGAAAAGAATCTTCTGCTCCAGAAACCCATATGAGTTTAATGTATAATTTATACATGAGAATGCAGATGTCAATGTAAGACAAATCTCCATATAAATATTTTTGCAGTTAAAATTTTGGGGCATCTGTCTTCCTCCCAAAGGAGCCACCAGACACATGTGAGGCCTCGAGGCACAGGTCGGATGGGACTGGAAAGGTGACTGGTCATTTTTGCCAGCTAGTGATACAGCCACTAGTGAGCCAAGTCACACTCTGCCACAATCTGCCCCCTCAGGGTCCTGCTGTGTCTTTTTCAAAATAGAGATTTAACACTGTATACCAACCTGCTCAGTGGTAGGCCCAAGGGAGAAGGGCAGAATGGAGTATGGCTTCACGCTCCAGTGCCTTTGAGTCTACTGAGAGCCAGGCAAGCAGATGATGAATGACAATGACAGTGTGGCAAATGCAAGGGCTGGGGTAAGTCTTGCATGCCCATCAACTACATAGGGACAAGTACTTCCTATGCTGGAGGGCATCCCCAAAGACTCCGAGGACAAGACAGGTTCTGACGGAGTCTTTCAAGTGGATGAAGGCAGGAGCTCATTCCCAATAGTAAGAAGCACATGTGCAAAGACCAGAGCAGGAGTGAGCACATCTTAAACTACATCCTGGTGCAAATTGGGGAAGGGCCATCAGTGAGGCTGGAGTGAAAGGCGGAAGCTAGAGCCCCAAGACGCCTGTATGCCCAGGCCTGAAACAGCCCTGAAACAGCTGGAATTGAAGACTTTAAAACAGATCAAAACTTCACTTCACTGGCTGAATAGTACAGAGGCCAAGTGGAGGGTCACAGAAGGGAAAAAGAAAGGCAATGAGCTCTGCAAAGTATAAAATGAGTGCAGTGCACATAAATGACCATTCCCAGCAGATTCTAGCCCAGGGGTCCTGAACAATCTCCTTCATTCAGGTGGACCCATCCATGGGCTTGATTGGCACATGACTTTGCATATAAACTACCTGAAAGGTAGCACCCATCCTTCTTGTCTGTAGTTACTATTTCCATTTGGGGCTGGTGACTCATTGTGTGTGATATTCCCTGACACCCTTTCTCCAGACGCCCAGCAGAGTTCCAGGCATAATCCAAACCATCCCCTTGTATGAGGAAACAGAGAGGCGCAGTACAAGACCAAGCTGGGAACTACTGAGCCATGCTCACAAAGGAAAGAGAAACTGCATGTCTCCATTGCACCCTGGCCTGAACCAGCAATGAGGTCAAGTACATGCCCTCCTTCCATCATGCAATTGCCAACTATGCCTGAGCTTAATCTGACATCCCCAGGGTGACTTCACAGAACCTGGACTTTCTACAAAAAGATAAATCAAGTCCACATTCTCAGGGACTTTGTAGAGCCTCTGCTGTGGTCTAAACTTATAGTCCTGGTCTAAAGATAAAAGCTCAGGCTAAAGGGACCAAACACCACAGCATAAGGGTTCTAAGCCCTCAACCCTCATCAWACCAGTGCACATCTTGCAGAAGAGCCCAGGTTAGCCTCACTGACTTTTCCACCCTCCTGGAACTGGTGAATGCCCAGCCACATACCTCGCTTGACCTTCGGGGGCCGGAGGCCGTCCCCCTGGGATAGGGCCTCCCAGGCCTCCCGCTCCCTCCAGCGCCTCAGCTGCTCCTCTCTCATCTTGTAGAAGAGGATGTGCTTCTGCACATCGCTGAGCTCAGCAAGGAGCTCAGGGTCTATGTACATGTCGTGCAGGATCTGCTGCAGCATGGTGCCACCTGCGATGCACACACCAGAAGGGCAGCTGACCAGAGCAGCCAGGCAGAATGYCCCAAGCCACTCTTCAGCCCTGGCCTTACTCAGGCGCCACTCTCAGTGCCCCTTCTCTGTGCAGCAGCATCACTCTGCCTCAGCTCCCAGCCAGTGATGAGCGTATCTCCTCTCCCCAGGACAGCAGGGGACCAAGTAGCAGGAACCAAAGAAGCCTCTGGGACCCTGAAAGGGAAAGCAGCCACCAGGAGAAATTGAGTCCCTCTGTTGGGTCACCAAGCACTGTATCCCAGCAGCACCTGTGTCTTGGACTCACCTCGACTTCTGGAAAAACAGGGACAGTCCAAGGTCTAGCTCAGCTGGGCAAGGCCCAGGCCCAGCCCTGCCTGGGCCAGTAGGTGTCGAGTGATCTGTCAGTGGAAGGTAACGATGACACCAGCTGTATCAATGACACTGCCCTGGCCAGCCGGAGAACTGATCTCTCCTCTGCAGATAAGAGAAAGGAGGAGGCAGCTTTGCCTACTAACTCCCTATATTGGGGGCCAATTTTAAAAAGAGGCCAAAAGAGCCAGCCAGGAACTTCTGGGCTCCTCAGCCCCACCATCTATCTACCTGCTCCACCACTGCCAGCCCTCTCCTTTCCAGGACATTTGGCAGACTGAGGTAATGCTTTTAAAACTTCGCATTGGGCGAGGAAAGATCTTTCCTCTTATCAATATTGTAGCCAAGGAGGGACATGAAATGGTATCAACAGAGAACACCAAAAGGAGTACTGTCATGGAGTTCCAAGAAAGAAGAAAGCCAGATTTTCTTTCCCCTTTCCCCATTAGGAAACTCAAACTGGGTGTGTGCTGAGAGACAACCCCCCCCCAGGGCCCAATGGGATGGTTGATGTTGATCTTCTTGTTGTCTGGAATTCACCAAATAGGAAGAATATGAAGCTGCCTCCTCTTCATGCCCTGATCTGAGGCACCTGGGCAGGGAAGGGCAAGATGATAGCGCCTTCTGCTTGGAGGGAAACCACCTCTGTTTGGCTGTGAGGGTGGGTGGAACTGCTTTTGCTGAGACCAAAGCCCCCCCCCCTCCCCAAAAAAACAATGCTTAGAGGTACTTACAGTTAACTGCCCTTTTATTCGGATAAGGAAATGGGATTCAGAGAAAGTAAGCGACTTGCCTGCGGCAACCCAACCAATAAAGTGCTGTAGTTGGACTCAACCCAATTTTCAAATCTAACTTCTTGTTGATGGTTTAAAAAAATGTAACCCCACCAGGAGAAAATAAGCAAACAAATATGATTTGGCATTGTGGCTTGGTTGGATTGGTGACCTTTGTGTCCCCTTCTCTTCCCTTAGGACTCAAGGTGGATCGCACATCTGAGCGATGGAACACGGTGGCAAGTGAGCTCCCTCGGCAAGGTTAACCCACACAAATGCAAGGACTAAGCAGGTTTCAACCAGCTTGAAGCCCACTAGGTCAAAAGAAATACTGTCTGGAGCCCCTTCCCAGGAACAGACAGCTTGTCCCAATGTGACCCAGACCTTCTGGGAACCTCCACCCAGGTGTTCCAACCACCTGGATGAGCTGTGGCTGTGGATCCTGCCCTGACCTCTTCTTTCCTTTCCCTACCTCAGTTTTGACTCCTCTAGGGGATATGGTTCCCTTTGGTTCTTGACTGAGGATCCCCAGCCCCCTCTTGCTCTGACCTTCCTGCCCTTAATTGTGGTTGGGCTGGGGGCAGCTCAAAGTCCAGAGAGAAGACCAGGGGAGGAAGGCAACCAAGGGAGCTGGCCTCCTACAGGCAGTGTCTTTCTTCCTTGGCTCCCCAGAGGCATGGGACAAGAAAGGGCACAGGGCCAAAGAGAAAGCTGTTCAGAGCAGCAGCACCAGCCGGCTGGGTGTGGGAATGGGCATGAGGTCCTGTCCTCTGGCTGGGTGATGATGGTGTCGTCCTTGTAGTGGTAACAGATGAGGATGACCCTGGCTGGCTCCCCGTCTTGTGCAATAGAACAGACCTCGCTGGTGGGAGGGGTGCTCCCTGGCAATCCCAGGTCAGTGGGGCAGGAGGCCAGGAGACACCGAATCCCAGGGACGTGACCGAAAGGCGGATCGCAGACGCTCTGCGGGATGGATCGGGTTTCGGTAACAAGTGGTGGGGGCCTCTGGGCAGTCCTGGGCGCCACCTCCCACCTGGCTTTCGCCCGCTGCTCAGGCTCGGCCTGGCATGGCGCGCCCTCTGGCGGCCGAATTGGGCACTGTTGGGCTCCTCAGATAACAGGAGACAAGACAAGCAGAGAGGGAACCCCGCGGTTCTCAGACCAGGTTTCCTGCAGCCTTTCAACAGGCTGTATTCTGTTTTCATTTCTCATTAGCCATGTGATGCATTTATTTTTGCAGGCTAACGCAATTCCTTCAGGCGCCAGGAGATACGCGCATGCAATGCTATTGTGCAAGTGACTGGAAACCACCTGAAAGTCCCTGGTGAGTTCAGGGGTCGCCCACTATAAAACTGTATGCTCCAGTCACAGAGTGGGATCGATTTGTCTTAACGAGGGGGAAAGGTCCAAGGCAGATGAAATGGAAAGGCAACGTGTAGGATTCTGTGCATAGGACAATCCATTTTTTAAAGTCCATGTTTGAACATGGAACGGGAGAGAAAATAACAAAATAGAAATTCTGACTACTTTTGTGTAAACAAAGGAAAAATACAAATGATTTTACATCTAATTGTTTAGCATTGTTTCATCTTGGAATGGGGAGGGACCACTTTAACTTTTTCTGGATTTTATAGCATGATTAGCATACACTTATGTAACTCACATGACTGAAATCAAATGTACTTCAAAAGTCCTAAAATGTGATCTATTAACACCAACCTCCCTCCGGGGATCAGCAGGGGACCCAGCCCCAGAGAAGGACCACAGGCATAGTCAGACCTCTCTATGCCAGGAAGTCAGGGTGGACAAACCATCATATCACCTCAGGTTCCTAAGCAGCAGAAGGGCTTTGGGACATTTCTGAAACAGCTTTGTCACTGGTGTGGAAAGGGTGCTAGAAAAACAGGAAGCAGGGAAAACAGCCACCAAATGCTGGCTAGATCCAGGGGAGAGGGAATAAAGGGCTACACAGGCATTGTTAAGGGATCAGATAAGAGTAGAATTGGGGATCCCAGAGTCTTATCCAGAATCTCTGCTTCTACTAAAATCCTCTTAAAATTAAATCAGAGCATGTCATTCCTCTACTCAAAACCCAAGTTCTCACGGGACCACAGGCCCTTCATAATCTGCCCAGCTTCATACCACCCCTCATATGGCACCACCCACCCTTTGCACCTGGTCACTGGATACAGCCTGCTGGCCTCACACTGGACAGCAAATACACTGGACATCTGCCTCCTCAGGGCCTCACAATGGCTCATCCCTCTGTCTAGACCTCATTTGGCTCAGTTACCAAATTCTAAACTTTTAGCTCCCCTATCCTCCTGATGACCCCTCCCTTCCTCTGCTCTGTAAACTACCATTTTACTTATTTATTTGGCAATAATATTTCTGTCTCTCTCTCTCCCTCCTAGATAATAAGCACTCCAAGGGCAAGTGCTTCCTTCCAGTTCGTCACTGATATAGAATGCTCCTTGGCACATAGCAATGCCTGGTAAGTATCTATAGAAAATGAATGAAGAAGGAACCTTCCAGGTGGAACTGGCAGAGCCTATGCAGATGCTGGGGAGCCATCCAGAGCAGGGCTCTGCAGAAAGATGCTGGACACTTAGACCTAGGAGTCATGGGCTACATTAGGTGAATGGATAGCCTTGTCACAAGCCACCTGCTTTGGCTTCCCCAGCATGTCCCACAGTCCCTCACAGGCAGGGTCAGTGATGGCCAGAGGACCCTCTCATTTCAGCTATAGCTGAGCCTGGGCAAAGTTACCATGGAAGAATCAGCTACAGGAAGGCCCTTCTTACAATCTGTCCACCTTCCCTGGAGCATCATCACTTGGGAAGCTGCTCCTAAGAGTACTTACTTATCTTACTCGATATATTTTGCAATCCAAGGGCTCAGTGAAAGTCAACAGTAGTTTCTGCTTGTCACCACCATGATGATACTTATGTCATCATGGACATAAGTATCAATAGTGTTCCTGCATTGGTGCAGCAACTACTTAGAAAAAAATGAGGTATATTTTTGAATAAAATAAAATAATGATTTAATGAGGGAGGGAGAAAAAAATGATGTATTAAATAAGATCCTGCTCACTAGAGGAACCAGACATATGAAATACCGGGAATGAACTTAACAACGTGGGGACCTGTAAGGAAAAGTAGACCTTTTTACTGGGAGAATATGTAGGCTTTAAGTTGGTCTAGGAACACAAGACATTCACAATCAGAAAAGAACCAATATTGAAAAAATGTCCAATTAATCTCCGTATCAGCTAATCGGCGAAAATGGTTCTCAAAGATCCCTACCTCCTGGATTTCACACCCGTGCCAGAAGGGAGTATGCCTTCTATCAGACACTTGACCAGGCTCTCAGCTCTCATCATGCACTCAGGAAACCATGCTGTGAGGCCCATGGGCAGAACTGAGACCTCCTGCCAGTCACTAGTGAGGTTGGAAGAGGATCCTCCAGCTCTGCTCGGGAGAAATCTCCACCTGGTCAACAGTTTCATTACCATCTCATGAGAGATGTGGAGCCAGAACCACTCAACTAAGCTGCTATTATATTCCTAACCCTTAAAATGGTTATGAAAGGCATGTGTGTGGTTTATGAGCTGCTAAATTGGAGGATAATTTGCTATGCAGCAATACATAACTAATACTATCTCAAATTAATTTATGGACTTAATATCACTTCAAACATGAAAGGAAATTAGGAGAGAGGATTGATAAAATGATTCCCAAGTTAAACAGAAGAATGAATAGATGAGGGGCCAGGGGTGTAGATCAGTGGGTAGAGTGCTTGCCTAGCATGTGGGAGGTCCTGGGTTGGATTCTCAGCACCAAG